TTTTGATAGAATTGAGAGGCAGTAGCAAGGCCCACTATGCCAGTCCCAGTTACAGGAAGGACCCCTGCCCCAATTAAAAGGTACAATTAGTGCCCTACAGGAGCAGGGGCACTTCCTGAGTGGGGGGTTCAAAGTTAGTCCCAGTCCCGTCTCCATCTCTCCATCTGTCTGGATGGTGATGTCTGGGATGAGCCAAATGAATATGCAAGAAATCGCATTAAGGGGCAGGCAACAGGATGACGTAGTTTTGTAAAGGAAATATATTTTAGTTTTAGGGCATGGATGAGGAGGGGGTAAGTGAGTGGTAGCATTTGGTGGTGTTAGTAAGGCAGAGTGTGGGCAGGCCCCGCATAATGCTGACAAGTCCCCACTGAGGTGAGATTAGAGGAAAGTGAAGAGATGTTTGTGGAAACGTTATGGGCTGTATCAACAGGGAGGGAGGTGACCACAAAAAGTTTCTCACGAAGTGGGAGACAGATGAGTCACTTGGGGACCAGTCTGATTTGCTGAGGACTGCATCATCCCTGCGGACCTGGAACCTCCATGTTCAAGGAAAGGGGGAGCATTGAGATAGGTTGAAAAACATGGGAAGGATACGAAGGGTTAGGGAGCCAAGAGAATTTAAAGGGCACATTGTCACAATGACATCGCTAAGAAGCATCCTCCCGATAGGAGGTAAAGGAGTGCCAGGAGAAATGTTCCTATATTGTTACACTCCTTTGGGGCAGCTGCTGCCAATCCTGTAGCAAGTACTAGACCAGATAGTGTAATAAAGGTTAGGGACACAGGGTGACATATACTTATCAAGTCCCACGATGGCAAACCCATGATAGCAGGTCGGGGACAGTCTTGGAGCAGCTCCTGTGTGACGGACGTGGAGTGGGCCTGCAAGAGTGACAGGATAATCGCCAGGAGAAAGATCATCCTTCTTCTGGGATTGGGGGAAGAGTGGAGGTCCTGGAGATTTTCAGTTTTGTGGGTCCTAAAATGGATGAAGTGTGAGGAGATGTTGGGTTGGAGGTTGAACAAAGGGACCCCTCTGGCTTGGTGTTAACAGATTCTTTGGGTAAAGTCTCAGGTGCTAGTTTTAC